CTCCTCCTTCAGTTCACCTCCCCAGGATGTGGGTACAGTCAGGGTAGCCATGCCAATCCTGAGGTCCCCAGGTGGTGCCCACATTTGGCAGTCTCGGTGATGGAGCAAAGGTGGGGGAGGGGTTGAATCCACCCAGAGGCACATGGAAGAAAGGCCTGGTGACGCATTCCAAGCCAACCAACCACCGGAAGCCCGGCAGAGCACAATTCAGAGCACAACATCCTCAGGAAAACCCCTACCTTGCCAAGGGGGCAGTAAGCTTACCATCTCTGCAGGCGAGCTGGGGGTGAGGTAGAATTCCTTCAGGTGCAGAAAGAAGCCTTCCAGCTGCCCGATCAGCAGGAGCAAGATGACCCCGTCTGCAAACTATGAAAGAGGGAGCTGCAGTCCAGCCCGGGGCGGCCAGCCAGGGGCTTCCACTCTGAGGCTGCAGGCTGTGCAACCTTCAGGAAGAGGCAGGGCCTCTCTGAGCCCTGGGTTCCTTTCTGAGAAACGGGGGCAGCCTCCCCGACCTGCCAGCATCCTCTGGGAACAGCAGCGGCAGGCTCACAGCAACCCTATAAGGCTGGGGAGAATTGCCCCCGTGGGTTTCTGAGACTGTCACTGTTTACAGGAGTAGAAAGCCTCGTCTTTCTCTGGAGGAGTGCCTGATGGTTTTGAACGGCTGACCTTTTGGATTGCAGCCCATTGTGTAACCACTGCACCACCAGGGTTCCTTGGGACGTGGTACATGCTGAATAAATAAGAGCTCTTTTTGAACAAGCTCTGTGACAGCCCAGAGCACCTTGTCAACCAGGGGCTGCTCCAGGATCTTCAGAAATGCAGAAGGGGGATGTCATGCGAGCGGCACAGCCCTTCGGGGAAAGCCCTCTGGGAAAGCGCACGGGGCTGATTCTCCTGGCTGTCACAGTCATTTTTTCTGTCTGTTCTGTGTGTTTGCAGATGAAGCGGCCGCCCGTACCCACCACAAGCGCAGCATATGCTAATGTAATCCGACTGAATCTCTTCAAAGATACAAAAGACGAAATTGGATCCTGGAGAAAGGCCATCTCTCCAAGCCTTTAATGGAATTTCCTCCTATTAGGGCCGTCCCAGTGTTATTAGTTTGGGCCTGGAATCTTCTCTGCCGTTTTTTCCTGGCAATCCGGCGGCGATCCCCAGGGTTCTGTATCCCCTTCTTACCCCTCAGCTTCTAAATGCTGCTCTTTGCGCAGGTCGCTCCTCTCCAGACGGGAGACAGCACACCGAGGCAGGCAGAATGCAAACCCACAAACCGCCCTGCTTATATGCCCCATACTGGTGGGCAGTGGGCTACGGATTGGGCTGCTCATCTCAAGGTCGGTGATTCGAACCCATCAGCCGTTCCAAGGGAGAAAGATGAGGCTGTCTGCTCCTGTTAAGATTCATAGCCTCAGAAACCTCCTCTGTCCGGGAGGGTGGCTCCGAGTCCTAACTGACTCGGAGGAAGGGAGTGGGATTGAATTTTGCTGTAGCCCAACCCAAACCAACTACCATTAGGTTGATCCTGACTCATAGCGATCCTATAAAGCAGAGTCGAACTGCTCCTGTGGGTTTCCACAGAAACAACTGCCTCCACTATCTCCCTTGGAGCAGCTGGTGGTTTTGAACCACTGACCACTTGGTTCCCAGCTGAGTGCTTAATTACTGTGCCACTAAGGCTCCTTCCGGGGATCCTGTTGCTATTAGGTACCATGGTGTTCAGTTCCGACCCATAGCCACAACAGAGTGGACCACTGCCCGGTCCTGCACCGTCCTCACACTTGTTCCTATGCCTGAGCCCTATCTCACAGACGTCTTCTCTTTCACTGCCCCTCTACTTTACCAAACACAGTGTCCTTCTCCAGGGACTGGTCTCTCCTAATAACAGGTCCAAGACATGCAAGACCAAGTCTCGCCATCCTTGTCTCGAAGGAGCATTCTGGCCCGACTTCATCCAAGACTGGTCAGTTTGTCCTTTTAGCAGATCCAGAGATGCTATCTGGGACTTTATCACTTTTAATGCACTATCAGCCCCTTAACCCCGGCTGCCAGCAGCGCCCAGAGCCTGTCTGAGCTATCTCCAGTAGGCATGAGGACCTGGGAGAGAACTCACACCCGCATGCTATGTGAGTCCTACAGGCCTGACGCCTAGTTGAAGCTGCCTGGGGTCCAGTGGTCTCTGTCGCTGCCCGAGGGGTTGGCTCTGGTCTCATTTCCCTCCTGTGTGGAAACCGGACAGAGGCACAGCCTATACGGTGGGGGCAGGCAGCCAAGCAGGATTGCTGGCCAGCCGTGAGAGTCAGCTCCTGCCTCTGGGTCACAGCACTTAGAGACCCAGGGGCTCTGAGAAGGGCACCTCAGATGGTCCAAGAGATGACAGCTACACAGGGGTGCATTGGGAGCACCGGGGGAGCCACTCTTCACACCCTTTCTCACAGGGTTCCCACTGGATGCTCTTTCCTGCCTGCATCCCATAGTCCCTTTCCCACCTAGGGACCCTGCCACCGAGTCCCTACCTGGGTGTCCAGACTCTGCACCGATAGGCCCAGGCGATCCAGCTTCTGGTTGACGAAGGTTATGATGGCCTGGCCAGGAGGAAGCGAGGACCTGGGGAGGGGTTCTTGTTTGTGCCCCCAGCCCAGGGCCAAGCAAAACTGGGACAAAAAGCCTCTTCCTTCCCCTAACCCACTCCACAGGCAGGTGGGTGGTCATGGCTGGGCATGGTCAGACATGGTGGGCTGGCCTGGTATGGTGGGCATGGCCAGGCATGGTGGGCATTGTTGAGCAGTGGAATGGGCACAACCGGACATGGCCGCACGTGGCCGGGAGGGTGGGTGTGATTGGGAGGGTGGGCGTGGCCGGGAGGGTGGGCGTGATCGGGAGGGTGGGTGTGGCCGGGAGGGTGGGCGTGGCCGAGGGTGGGCGTGGCCAAGTATCAGCGTTTACCTCCCGCACGGCGATCACTTTCTCCGGCGCCAGCATGAATAATTCATCAAAGACGTCCTCTGCGAACACAGACCCATACCCCTCTCATTACCGCGCAGCACCTGAGGGCCACCCTGGCCCTTTCCCACAGACCAACGGGGGCGTGGGCCGCTGTGTAGACGGGGCCTCCTCTCTCAGGTGTGGCTCAGAGTCAGGGTCAACTCCGCAGCAGCAGTTGAGTTTGGTCTTGGCCTGGGTTTAGACCGCTGGTCCCTAGCTGTGCAGCCGCAGGAGAGCCCCTGACCTCTCTGTGCCTCAGTTTCCTCATCTGTAAAGTAGAACTGGCAACACCTGCCAGGTGAGTCAGTTCCTTTGCAAAGTCCACACCCGGTAGCAGGTAACAGGTAACACCCCTGAAATGGGGGTGGGGGGGCGGCCCACAGCAACTAGCTGTCCTCCCACTGAGGAGACCTGTTGTGTCTGGAGGCCCTGGGGGTGGGGTTGGGGGCAGGGTACAAATGGTTAACCAGTTTCGGCTGCTCACCAAAAGGCTGGACAGGCAAGCCCACCCAGAGGTGCCACGGAGGAAAGGCCTGGTGATTGGCCACTGGAACCCGTGGAGCACAGTCCTGCGCTGACCAACATGGGGTGGGTGGGTAGCCATGAATGGGAGTGGACTCGGCAACAACTGGCTAGGTGGGTGCTTGGATGAGCTCATTTTACAGATGGAGAAACTGAGGCACAGACCAGTGTGGCTGGAGAGATCTGGGGTGTGAACCCCAGCCGCCCAGTTCTTGAGCCCATTCCCTTGCCACCACCACTACGGCCGCCTGCATGGATTACATATACACTGAGAAGAGACAGCCCAATTCGGGGGCAGACAGGCAGGGTGAGCGGCCGACAGAGGGTCCTAAGGCCCAAGCTCCCAACCCCCTGGAAACCTAACACTGGATGCTGCGTGGCATGTCGGCTTCCACGCGGGTCACACAGAGAAAGATACTCACTGGGCCGTGGGTCCTGGTCTGCGCTGCGGGGGGGACAGCAGGGGAGAAGCAAACAAATGGTTAAAAATGCTACACTATCAGCAGACATCTGATTCGCTCAGAGGGGAGGACTCAGTGGCCTTGGAGTCCCAACGGAAGAACCGGATGTGGTCATTGGATGGCTGGTAGTCTTGTCACCGTGGAGCCCTGGTGGTGGCTATGATCCCAATGGTCAGCAGTTCAACCACCTCGGGAGAAAGACTAGGCTTTCGACTCCTGTAAATAGTCACCATTTGAGAAACCCACCGGGGGTGGCGTGAGCCTGCATGGACTGGGTGGCAGGGAGCTAGTGAGAGCCTTGACAGGGCCCTCGTGGAGAAGAATGGAGGAGGGGCAGATACTGCAGGGTGCCACAGAGCTGCATCTAAAGGTCAGCGGTTAAACCATCCATCTGTGCCGAGGCACAAAGACCTGGCAGCCCACTCCCAAAACGATGGCAGCCACGGAAAACAGTTGGGGCAGTTCTACCTGGTCAACCTCATGCCAAAAATATCCCCGCAAGTCGTCTGAAGCCTGCACGTGGCTTCACCAGGTTGACTGCCTTGAACAATGCTGCTCTTGAAGAGTCACTTCTCCAGGACCCCTGGTGGCATAATGGGCTATGAGCACTGAGCTGCTAACGACAGGGTCTACAGTTCGAACCCACCAGCCGCTGCACAGGAGGAAGACCAGGCTGTCTTCTCCTGTAAAGATTTAAAGCCTTAGAAACCCACAGTCAACATCAGTGAGTCTGGTCTGGCTTTGAAAGGTCACACAGCTCCTAAGTGGCAGAAATAGAAAGCCAGGTGGGGCTGATGACTAAAACTGTGCCCTCCCCCACTCCATCCCAAGCTGAGGGGCCACATTCAAAGTCTCCCCCAGTTGTGGATGTCCTGCAGGCTGGAGAGGTGTAGTGGATGGCCTCTAATGATGGCTACTTCTGGTAGCCCTCGTGCCACCATCACCCCCTACACACACACTGAGCGAGCCTGGCCCGTGTCGCCAGCAGGATACTGAGGAGGCAGG